TCAGATACTTACTAAATGTATGACCCAGGGCAAATCACTTAGCCTCTACCGGCCTCAGTTTCCTCATCTGTAAAATGAGGATGATAATAATAGCATCTACCTCCCAGTGCTGTTGTGAGAATAAAATAAGGTAATATTTGTAAAATAGAATACTATATAAATGCTAGTTGTTTATTATCATATTATATAGTAATTTATAATATAATAATAATTATTATTATCCACCTAATTTTGTTGGGCCTACCACTGTGTAGAACTCAACAGGTGCAGATCCTGTCTACCTAGAAGAGAGAGAATCTAGTTGATTGATAAGTATATGTAATATTTGTTGGTTATTAGTAACATAAATTGTATAAAGCATGTGTTATTTTCTTAATATTTCATGTGGAAATATACTGTGGTATTTTGTAATGTTAAGCCTCACTTTCTGATAGTTGGGTAAACAGCACACTCCAACTCATAATATCAAATAGGATTCTTGTGCATACATACAGATCATTGCCTGATAATAAAACTACCTTGAATTTATATAGAGCCTTTCCCCCAAAGAGCATGCATTTTTATGTACCCTTATGAAACGAAATCTGCTCTTTTTTTTTCCTCCCGCATAGGAACGTGAAGAAAATTTCCGAATGATCAGCGAAGACACAAACAGCAATGTTTTGTGGTGGGCTCTCGCTCAAATGTTACTCCTTATCTTGGTTGGAATTTTCCAAATGAAGTCCCTTAAAGATTTCTTTATAGCTAAAAAGCTGGTTTGAAATGAAGTTAAAAGAGGCAAATAAACTGTACAATGATTTGCATAATGTCTAAGTTAATAAAACAAAATACATAAATATGTATTACTTTGTGGGTAATTTCAAAGAATCAAAAGTTGAAATTAAATCTCTGTTTGATAAGCATCATAACACCCTCTGGCAAATAAATAATGATTACAAAAAAAGAGTTTAGCCAATAACTGAGTTCCTGGATTTTGTTTACTAGTGGGGTGGGAAGGAGGTGCAGTGGGAGAGGATCCAGTTTTCATCTTAACCTTGATATGGGTCAACTATATAACTCTTCATGATACATGATTCCATTGTACTTTACTAGAATTTCTGCTTTTTCTTAGTATTTCTCTATAATAGTAATACCTTTATTTCAGTGATATTTGAAAGTTTGTTTCAGAAAGACTATACCTCAGCTGCCGTCATTGAGAAGAGAGAGAGACAGAGAGATAGAGACAGAGAGGAAGAGAGACAGAGACAGAGACAGACAAACACAGAGAGACAGAGACAGAGACAAAGACAGACACAGACACAAAGACAGAGACAAAGGCAGAGACAGAGACAGAGAGACAAAGAGAGACAGAGGACAGAGACAGAGGACAGAGAGACAGAGACAGAGACACAGAGACAGAAACAGAGAGAGACAGACAGAGATGGACAGACAGAGAGACAGGGGACAGAGAGAGACAGATATAGAGAGAGAATGCCATTAGAGACAGAAAGACCAAGAGATAGAAAGGGAGATGTGGAATCAGGGGTTTTTAAACCTGGGTTCCATGAACTTGTTTTCAAAAATATTTTGACAAATATATTTCAAAATAATTGGCTTTCTGTGTATTTTATTTTATATATTTAAAGACCTTATTCTGAGTAGGGGTCCACAGGCTTCACCAGGATGTCCAAAGGGTTGATGGCACAAAAAAAATGAAATACTCTTGTACTAGGTGATTGTACATTTATGTGGATTTGGAAATTGTCGAATGGCTGGACCTAAAGAGCTGTCATTAATGGTGTTCTGTGATACCATGAAAGGCAGTCTCATGCAGAGTGCCCCGTGGACCTGTTTCTTGACCCGGTGCTGCTTAAAAATTTGGCAACAAAAGGATGAAGGATGGAGGATGGATGGCTTACTTGTCCGCTCTGCTGGTGTCACAAAGGGGGGAAGTTGGATGACAGAGTCAAGATCCACAAGGATCTCTGTGGGCTTGAGTGCTGGACTGAATCTAAAAGCATAAAATTTAATAGGGATAAATGCCAGATACTAAACTTGAGTTTAAAACACCAGCTTCACAGAAATGAGACAGGGGAGACATAGCTAGATATCACTTCATGTGCAGGAGGCTTGGGAGTTTTAGGGGGCTGCAATCTTAGCACAAGTCAACAGGGAATGCAGCTGTCAAAAAATCTAACGGGATCTTTTTGCTGCTGTTCGGTTGGGTTCCACTCTTCACGACCCCATTTAGGGTTTTCTTGGCAGAGATACTGGAGGGGTTTGCCATTTCCTTCTCCAGCTCATTTTACAGAAGAGGAAACTGAGGCAAACAGGGTTTAGTGACTTGCCTAGGGTCAAACAGCTAGGAAGTACCTGAGGCCAGATTTGAACTCATGAAGATGAATCTTCCTGATTCCAAACCCAGGGCTCTATCCACTGTGCCATTTAGCTGCCCTCAAAGTGATCTTAGGTTGTAGTAAGAAGTCTGGGGCTAAGTTTCACTATCTTCTATCTTGCTTTGGCTCTAGAATAGATCATGTTGTATTCTACTCTGGATTCCATATTTTAGAAAGGCCTTTTATAAGCTAGAAAGACGCCCGAGGAATATGGTCTGGATGGTTTGTATTCTGACTTCGTGACATGAGGATCAGTTGAAAGACATGAAGATTTTTAAGGTGGAGAAGAGGAAACTTAGGGGGAGCTTAATACATGTCACTGAGTATCTAAAGGCTGGCTATGTGGAAGAGGGGTTAGATTTGCTCTTCTTGGCCCCAAAGAGCAGAAGAAACAGCAGCAATGCATGGACATTGCAAAGAGGCAAAGTTTTGTTTGACATAAGGAAAAGTTTCCCAACAGTTGGAGCTTCCTCAATGTGCCCTGGTTTGCCTGAAAGGCTAAATGGCTCAACAGAAGTCTTCAGGCAGAGGGTGGATGACCCCAGTCTGGGGATGGCATAGAAACAATTCTTGGTCAGGCATAGGTTGGACTGAAGTTCTTTCTAAGGCTCAGATTCTGGGCTTCTTTCTAAGTACCAAAGTCCCAGAAAACCACATGATTTGCAATTTGTTGTAATGAAAACTATGGTTGTGCAAATTATTGTTGTCAGGACTCAGGAAAATGAGGCTTGTGAGACTGTTTGTGGCTCTGTTCAAAGATGACAGGTGCCCAATTGGGCACTGGCAGGTGCCCGATTTACGGAAGTTACATGTTTAAAACATAGGATTTTGCAGTTTTGTACAAACACAGCTAACAAAGGTAAGTGGCTAGTGTCCAAAGAAGATCGATTTGACAAGCTTTGCCATTTGATGAACAATACCAGATTTAGAACACGATTTGCAGGTTGCTCTTGGATTTGTGGGTATCAGCTTTCACTCTCCTCCCACACATTCTTTTGTCGAGAAGCCTTTAATTTCACCCCAAATATTGCAGCTATTTCTTAGCAAGCACTGCAATGACTGAATCTGGAAAGGCGCTCAAACCAGCTTAAGTAATTCTCTAGCTCTTTGGAGATGTTCTGTGTCAAATTATTCGGGAATCTGGATGACAAAAAGAGACGACTCGGTGAACCAAGTGTTAAAAAATTTTATCCTATTTCTTTTGCCCATCTCAGCCATTCTGATCATCAGAGATCACACAACCAACATCTCCTGGCTAAAATAAGTGATTTTTAATATCAGGAGGCATGATGGTAAAATAGGAATTATGGAGGATTTGGAGTCAGTGGACCTGGGGTCAAATCCTTACTCTGTTACTCTTCACAATGATTAAAAAGTTTGAGAGACATAGTTTCTGGGTAACTTAATCATTTTATTAATAAGGCCAGCACATTTATTAATAAGACAATAGCCATTTGGCTGTCTCTCTCAGACCAAAGACCCTTCATGGTGGTGGGCTCACAGTTTATATGCCCTTTGAAGAGTAGCCGTTCCTGAGAGGTGGCAATCAACTCTGATTGGTTAACAATTAATGAGAAAATGAATATTGCAATGGGACGTTGGTCTATATTACAATGAGAGTCTCTGGATAGTGACTTGGATCACCCAATTCTTGGTCAAAGAGACATCAATTTCCATATCACCTGTCTGATGAAAGGGAAAACCAACACTTTCCCAGACCTGTCTGAGCAAACACAATAAGCAAGAACACACTCATTAGCCTAAAATTAGAATTTCTTATAGTGCTGTTGATTAAATCTTAGCCATCCTGGCTGGGAAATCTCTGCCTAAGATTTTCCACATTGGTTGGTTTCTGGATGAGGAAGTAGAAAAGGGGAAAAACCCTGGTCATAATACAATTATCAATTATTAAACACTAGAGAAATACTAATTTCTCACATCTGTATCCTTGGGCAAGCTTATTTGGGCTTTAGGTCCTCATCTTGCAATGGGTAAGGTATTCTTGAGTTCAAATTTTGCCTGAGACATTTACTAGCTGTGAGACCTTAATCTCTCAGCCTTAGTTTCCCCATCTGCAAAATGGGGATATGACCTATTTCACTAGGTTGCTGGGAGGCTCAAATAAAATAGCATATGTTAAATGTTTGGAAAATCTTAAAGCACCATATAAGTGCTATTATTATTATTATTATCTGAAAAATGAGGGGGTTAGAGTAGATGGCCTGTTAGGTATTTTTTCAGCTCTAAATCTATGATCTACTAAGTTCAACACATGCAATTGAATAACACCGCTTCCATCCACACAAGCATACAAAATGTCTACTCTGTATTCACATATCCCTTTGCAATTATTGCCCTAGTATTGCTGGGGTAGAGATCTATTTAAACCCATTGCTCACGGCCTCACTCCACACCTCTTCATATCTCTTTACTAAGCCAAATACAAAGACAGCAAATTCAAAGCAAAGGCATTTAATGAAACAGAATAACAGGTAATAAACATGAAATGAAATCGGGGTATTAAACTGCTCGCACTCATTTCCAAATGGCTGCCATCCATCCCCTGACGGTCTAGAGAGTACGAGTGTCACTCCCAATTAACCCATCAGTCTTCCTAGCGCGGGGGGCGGAGGCACTCCTGGCTACACCAGGCACAGGTGTGATGGGCCCCCCTAAGCTCCTGCTCCTGCCCACCTGCCCTGAGTTCAGCACTCACGTCATACCCAATGGTAATCATTGCCTCCTATTTCATTTGCCCAACTAAGCAAACAACTATGGTCATACACAACATATACAGTGTAAATGGTGGGTCATTTCAGAGGGAAAGCAATAGAGGGAGGGATCAGGAAAGGTCTCCTGAAGGTGAGGATTTCTGAATGCCTGAAGCAGAAACCTCCGAATGACTGAGGGCAATTGAGTAAATTACGTGATCTTCCCCTCTTCCCCCGGCACTCACCGGCCATTGTGGTACAATGGGAAGGGTACTGGATTTTTTTTTTTTAAGAAGGTCGGTGCTAGCTGCTAGGGGGATCCACACAGATCTCTTGGGAGAGGTCGCTTTTGAGCTTAGCTTTCAAGGAAACTTGGACTCCTCTCTTACCACGCTGTCTTGATAACACGTTCAGAAGCCCAGTGTTTAATTGTTGTCCCAGACACTTACCTGTGTGACCATGGGCAACCCATTTAGCCTTTATACCTCAATTTCCTCATCTATAAAATGAGAGTAGCAGAATGTAAAGTCCCGTCTTCTACAATCCTCTGAATTCTAGTACTTTCCCTGTGTTACCTCCTATTTATCCTATACTATATATATGTTTGTACAGTTTATTTGCACGTTGCCTCCCCAAGCAGATTGTGATATCCTCAAGAGCAGGGACTATCTTTTCCTTTTTTCCGTATCATCAGCGTTTAGCACAATGACTGGTGCATAGCAGGGGCTTAACGTTGTCAGTACCGCAGAAAACTGTGTTCTTGAACTGACAGTTTTGTGAGTGGGAGCTGCCTACGCCTACACCAGCTGTGAGCAATGGGTCAGATTAACCTTTTAAAAGTATTCTAGTAGATTGGAAACTCCCTTAGGGCAAGGAACGTGATTTTTAAGAAAAAATAATCTTTGTACTAAGAAGATAGCAGAGTACACATATATCGTTCGTGAAGTTCCTTAAGTCCATCTATCTCCTCTCCAGGTCTCCCTACCCAACAGGGTAATGAACATAAGTTGCTCAGTCAGCCGCTTAAAAGGCTGCAGCGTTTCCCCTGGGAGGTACCATCATTGAAGTGATGGGGGGGAAGATGCTGTGATTAGGATAACTTCCCTACGACCTCTGTCTACACATCTGCCTCTGCAACTGGGGAGACAGAATGATACTGAAGAGCTGTTTAATCTCTTTCCCCCAAGCTGGGCCAGAGGGGGAGACTGTCATCGTCAGCCCTCCCCAGCTTAACACCCACCCCCTTGGTTTTTCAGTGGGCTCATTCCAACCTCTCATCTCTCCCACTGGGAGCGGGAAAAGTCCAGTAGTACGCAGGCGCTGCAGGGGCTCGCGCCTCTTTCCCTCCTTTTGTTCAGAGCCTGGGCGCCATTGGCCGCTTTCTTGTTGCCGAGACCTCAGACCGCGGCGTCCAGGCATGGCTGTCCGGATGTTCTGCAACCGCTGCTTCCAGCCCCCCGGCAAGTCCTCCTCGCAGTTTAGCCTGACGAGCTGCGGCCACGTGTTCTGCCACCTCTGCCTCCAGCAAGGTAAAAGCGGGGAGAAGAGGAAGGGGAGGAAGGCTTCAGGGTGGGAGAGGCCTCAGCCGGAGGTGCCGGAATTGACGTCAGAGGTCCGCGAGGCCTCGGAGCCCTCCGGCTATGGGAAGCTCATTATTATCCCCGAAGATTATTTTTGTGGGCACCGCGGTCCTCCCACCCAGCCCCTTAGGCTCCCAGCGTGGGAGTCATCCAGGATTCCTCGATGTCTGCTACCGGACATCTCCAAGCTGCCGTTGACGAGGACTGTCAGTTTCACTTTTGTAGCATCTCTTGACAGCTCTCTGATGCTGCCCCCACGCTGGTGCACGATTGCCTCGATTACCGCATTGGCTTGATGAATTTTATGATCTTTTGTGTCCTCCTGGCCAGAAGCAAACAGGAGGGTGACTAAGATGGTGAAAATGTAAGATGAGGAAGATCAGTCGTAACAACTAGGAATATTTTTGCCCGGTATCTTTGGTCTCTGCCCTCCCATCTCCTTCAAGACTTTTCTCCTCCAATCCCTCTTTATCTCCAGTCTTTCTTTCTGCTGTCCCCTTTCCTTCTATCTTCAAACATCTGTTCAAAAAAGACATTATTTTGGCTACAAGCCTCTTAAGCTGTCTCCCAATCTTTTCCTCTCCTTCGGCCAAACATCCAGAAACACGACTGCTCTTGACATCTCCACTTTCTTAACATTAACTCACTCATTTGTCAACTCTTGTACTTTCTGCCCTTGACTCCAGACTCAAGTGATGCTCTGGAAGTCACCAATGACCTGCATTCAATCCCTATTCTACATCTCTGCAGCTGAAAAAATATTTCTATTATTTTTGTTTTTTTATATCACCTTCATTTAGAAACCTTTAGCACCACTTTCTCTTGGCTTTCCTCCTATTCCTCTTAATAGCTCCTTTTCAGTGTCCTTCACAGGCTCATTCATTCTCTAAATGCTGGCATTCCCCAAGGTCCTAGCCTTGGACATTTTCTCATCAATTTATTTCACTCACATGGCTACTACTAACACTTGTACTTAGCTGACAAGCAAATCTACAGTACAGACTAATCTTTTCGTGGAGGTCCAGACTTAAGTCTCAAACTACATGTAAGAAATCTTTACCTATATTTCCCTCAAGCACATCAAACTTAGCATGTTCAAAAGTGAACTTCTTATCATTCACCAAAATCTCCCTATTTCACATTTTTCCTTTTTCTGGCAATGACTGCAGCATTCAGCCACTCACCCATTTTTGCACCTTTGGAGTTATCTGACTAAGTCTACTTTTCCTTACCTCTCACATCTTAGTTATCAAGTTCCATGCATTCTTCTTCTATTTCTTGTGTTTTCCCCTACTCTCGCCAGTCTCTACTATAATTCCAGGCCCTGTTTACTGCCTTCTTTTTCAGTAGCAGCCTTAATTCCTTCATCCAGTCTTCCCTCTCTTTAATCCATTTTTCAGACTACTGCCAAATGAATATTCCTTATGGACAAATATGATTTTGTCACTCCTTTGTCCAAAACCCTTCAGTAGCTTCCTATTGCCTATGAAATAAAGTTAACACTCAACTCAATTCAAAACACTTATTAAGCACCTATTATGGGCAGTTAGGTGGCGCAGTGGATAGGATAGAGCACCTGGCCTGGAGTTAGAAGAACTTATCTCCCCGAGTACAGATCTGGCCTCAGACACTTACTAGCAGTGTGACCCTGGGCAAGTCACTTAACCCTATTTATTTTAGTTTTCTCAAATCTGAAAAATGAGCTGGAGAAGGAAATGACAAACTACTCTAGTATCTTTGCCAAGAAAATCCCAAATGGTGTCACAAAGGGTTTAGTCACATGACTAAAATGAGTGAACAATGAAAGTACAAGGAGCTTCCTAAAAATAGGACTTTGAGGTGGGACTGATTGAAAAAAGAATAGGTGGAGAGCAGAGAGGGTTAGCGTTCAAGGTGGAAGGGAACGAAACAGTATGAATGAAAGTATGAGGGAACAATATAGAAGTCGGGATTTTACCTGCTACTTGAAGGAAGGCAGGGAAGCCAGGAGAAAGAGGTGAGGAGGGTAGAGCATCTCAGCTCTGAGGGACAGCCAGAGAAAATGCCAGGAGTTGTGGGAGGGGAAGAACAACCTGTAGGCCAGTGTCACTGGATCGTAGAGTATGTGAAAGGGAGCAAGGGGTGAGAAGACTGAAGAGGGAGGAAGGGGCCAGGGTTTAAAGGGCTTTAAAAGCCATAGTAAGTAATGATTGGAATACTCTTTTATATGATTGTTGATGGCTGGCAATTCTTCTTTAGAAAGCTGTTCACGGCAGTCAGGTCAATAAGCACTTCTTAAGTGCCTTCTCTGGGCCAAGAATTGCGCCGGCACTGGAGACATAAAGACAAAATAAAGGAGTCCCTGACCTCAGGGAGATTAGAGTCTGGCAAAGGAAACCCCCTGTGCCCAGGTAAGTAATTCAGACCTGGCCCTGGCTGCAGAGGCGTTGCTGACAAGGCACAGTGGAGGCTCTGCTTGTAGTTAGTCCCTTTTTTTTTTTCTTCACCCTTGCCAGGTGTTGTCCTTGTCCTCTCATGAAGATACCAGGGCACTTGCTCACACGTCTTAGTGGAAGAGACGTGCACCAATTGATTGTGTGATACCTCCCCACCTTGTATATCTGATTTAAAAAACAAATCATGGGAACATTGTCAGTGTTGCTGCTTTAGTTGAATTCAGAGTTACCTGGATGACTTTTGTCATATTATTTTTAGCACTCATGGAGCATTGAAAATATCGTGTTCTTTTTGTCCGTATTCATAGTATCGTAGATTTAGAGCTAGAAGGGAACTCCGAAATTAGCTAGGCCAATCCCTGAATTTTATATGTGAGAAAACTGAGGTCCTGGGAGGCTGAGTGATTTGCCAAAGGTCACCCAGCTCAGGGCCTCTGACTCCAGAGGCAGTGCTCTTTCCACCATACCATTATACTCATATTCCTAACCACAGCCTGGACATGGAGAGCAGTTTTATGTGCTATATTCATTTGTGAAAAAATTTTGTAATTTCAAATCTAATTTTATATAGTCATGTGTACTTTAAACTATTTGCCAATTTTATACATACTGTAAACTTACCTTTTTTTATATAGGTAAAAAGGAAGAATGTTTGATTTGTGGCACTCCTTGCCGCATAATTTTACTTTCAAAACAAGTAAGTTGTTAGTTTTGCAATAATATTTACTTTTAAATATGAAGATTCTTAGTCACTCCTGTATTAGAAACTTACATTTTTTCTATCAGTTGTACTAAAAGATTTTATTAAAATTTTGAGCATCTAAAGAATATATATTAAAAGCTGTGAGATAATTTTTACATTATTAAAATTTGTTGATTTGTAATGTAGTTGGTCTCCAGGGTACTGAAAATTAGTTGTTTAAATAATTTCCGTTAGAAAACAGTTCTTGAAGAGATTTCTGAGATTTATGAGAGTTCAGTTTGGAAAAAAGAAAGACCTCAGATATAGTTCTTTAAGACATTACAGAGATTTAGGCTATTTACTAATACCATATAAAATTAGAGTTTTTTTTTAAACCACCTAAATATGAGGCTAATTATCAATGAGTTCTGTCTAGTATAGTAATTTTGTTAAGATTATGTTATTTCGTTAGATGTAAAGTCAATCCGAGTTGTAAAGTAGCTTGGTTATAACTGTGACTTTTTGTGCCCTTACTGAACAATAGTTACTCTCCTGTACACAGAGTGCTCCCCAGAGAAAGCTTGGGCAATGGCTTGAGGTTTATTTTATTTTATTTTTAAATTTTATTAATTTATTTTGATTTATCAACAATCACTTCCATATTCTTTTGAGTTGAAAATTTTTCTCCCCCTTCCTTCCCTCCACCCTCCCCAAGACAGCACACAATCTGATACAGGCTTTACATTTACATACCCATTAAACATATTTTCACATTAGTGAAGTTGTAAGTAAAAATTAAAACCAATAGGAGGAACCGTCAGAAAGATGAAACAAAACTCAACAGAAGGTAAAAATAAGTGATTTGAGTTTTAAATATATCTACTGTACATACTTATTGTTAGCATGTTGAAATTAAGAAGAGAGTATTTTCAGTGGACAAAGTCTATCAAAGAGAGTCCTTTCAGATGATGGCTTTTTTTTTTTTTTGAAGTGAGGAGCATACAATTTCAGAATGAGTTTGATTTACCTATAGCTATATGGAATAAGTTTAAAAACTGGGGATTTTACATTCTGCTCAGCCAGCCTTGAAAAACTGCCCCATCCTGCAGTAAGCATTTGAATCTGTTAGAATGATGTGGAAATAATCGAGTTGTTTTTTTTTAAATCAAGGTTACTGACTTTTTTTGTGTGTTAAAGGCCCCTTTTACAATCTGGGAAAGCTTAATACTACTGTGGTTGGTTACCTACATTCATAATGGGAGGAAATGCCTAATTTCATTTAGAGGTTAGTGAAAAATAAAGATGTAATTTTTCCTATCTACTTTCAGAGATTCCCCTGAAATTTATCCACAAATCAGTTAAGAACCTTGCAACAAAATCAGTTTTTTAAAAACAATTTGCAAACTTACGTCTTGAACAACCCTATCCTATATGTAATCATTTTTGCAAACAAACTATATTTAATATTTTTCATCATTCGCTCTTGTTTCCCATTTTATGTAATAGAATCACAGAATTTTTAAAATGAAAGGGACTTTAGAGAACATCTGTGCTCTTAAACTTAGGTTTTATGATTGTTTTCCCCAAAGATTGGTTAATCTGAGAAGTGAAGGGCTGCATAATATACTTTGTTGGGTCTAAAAGCAGCCTACTGAGTAGGTTCTAGTAGAACCTTCTAATTTTCAAGCTGAGAAACTGAGGCCAAGGGAATTGAAGTGACTAGACCAAGGCCATGCAATACTAACATTAAAATAAACAATATATGAAATACTTTTGCTTTGAAATTCAAGGTCTACATTTTTTCTAACATTTTGAAAGACAATTTTAATGTCACTCAAATCCTGTATCAGAAGTAGTAATATGTAGATAATATTTGTTTCCTTCTTCAGACTGATTTTAATATTCAGGCATTCTTTATGGGAATAGATGGATTATGCAAGAGATATTCAAAAGAAACATCACAGGTGAGTTATATATGAAGTATTTTCTAAGGCTGCCAGTCAGAATATAAGTCCTTTTGGGATAGTGACTCATGATTCTGGCTTTGAGATCCTCTGAGATATTTCCAATTATGTCTAAAGAGGAAAATCTAATTAAAAGGCTGAAAAATTACTTTTGTGGAACTTTCTTGCTGTTTTACTTTGCTCCACGTATAGAAATAGAGTGGTGCAGATTTAGTCTGAACGTTTTTATATCAATTGTAGCTGTGTTGATGTGATAATAGAAATCTAGATTTCAGATATTTTTAGAAATTATAATTTTTATTTCCTATGATTTTTATTTCATCAGAGACCTATAATAATTATTCTTTAGTTTACTTTGTTTGGTAGACTTGAGAAACTTCTGAATCATAAAAATTAGACTTGGAAGAAACTAGTGGTTAAGAAGTTCAGCCTGTACCTGAATCATCAGTCTTCTCTACAGCATCTCTCTAAAATGTATCTGACAAGCGGTCATCTAGCCTTTACCAGAATAGACTTCCAGTGATGGCAACTCACTCGCTTATGAGGCAGAACAATTTTAGTTTTGCATATTTGTGAGCGTTTCCTCATTGAGTTGAAATCTGTCTTTACAACTTGCACAAAGCTTCTAGTTCTGGATTCTGAAGACAGCTTTAGTTTATGTCTCTTCCTAAGTCTTGTGTTCTCTAAGCTAAGCAGCCATGGTCCTTCAACTTATCAGGTCATGGTATGATTTTTAGTGTCCTTTATCTTCCTCATTTTCCAGTTGGATATGATATTCTAGATGTGCTCTGTCTGCAGAGCAGAGCTTGAATGGCTACTTGTTAAGGATAGGGGAGAGGGAATTCTTGCTTTAAATATAGGCCATACTCTATGATTTAGGAGATTTTTTCTGGGATTTTATGATTTATTGAACTGTTTCCCTCAAGAAACATGTTACTGGATTATGTGAAATACATTTCTTTAAAAATAGTCTAGGATTTAACAATTGAAAAATTCCTTCACTCTTAACAGGCAAACCTTAAATAACATTGTGCTAGGAAAATTATTGTGTAAAAACATCCTTAGTAGCCCATAATAACATTCTGCTTAACAATCAACACACATTTATTAAGTGACTACTATGTGAAGGACAACATTGTGTTAGGGGCTGGGGAAAAATGATTCAAAAGTGACAAATCTTTTCTTTCAGAAAGATTGCGGTCTGAGGTGGGGTCTGAGGCGGGGGGAATGTAGTTAATGGGGCTAAGGAGATGTAAAAAAAAAGTTAATTTTTTTTTGTTTTGACACCAGTTACTTCCCCTTAATTCTCCCTCATCACACATATATTAAAACCTTCCTGCTAACAAAAGCATTTAAGGAAAACCAACATGGTAACCATCTCTGACAATTCATATTCCACACCTTTCATTTCCTACCTTTCTCTTGAGAGGAGGGGTGTTTCATCACAAGTTCTCTGGAACTCTAATGATGGTCAAACTTGTTCAGTTGTCCCTCTTGTTTTGCTGAACTTCAGCCTTCTTTTACTGCTACCATCTGCCTTAGGAAGTCTCAGCCATGTTGCCTGGGTTCATTACAAATTCATGCTTCGAAGCCTCTCAACTAGGTCCTCACTTCAGCAAGGCAGGCCTTTTATTACACCCCCACTGATATCCTATCTCACTCCCCACAGAAGCTATTTTGATCCTTAGTTTTCCTCCTCAACACCACCACCCCACTTCCTCCTCCCTCCTCACTTTTAGCTGAGGACTGCTTCTTAACTTAGTGAAAAAATATTGAGCCTTTTCATTGTGAGCTTCCCTGTTCTGTTTACCTCCAAACCCTTTGGCATCATCTCCCCCTCTCTTCTCCTTTCCCCATTTGACAAAGAGATGGCCTTTCTTCTTGCCAAGGCCAACCCCTCTCCATGTGTACTTTATCCCACTACCCACTGTCTTTATTCTCAGTCATCCTTTCTTCCCAATCTTCAGCCTCTTCCTACCAAGTTGTGTCTTCTTTGTTGCCTTCAAACATGTCTAAGTTTCCCCTATCCTTAAAAACCTTTCACCAGATTCTACTTTCCTCTATAGTTCTTTTTTCAGCCGAATTCCTTGAAAAGATTGTCTATGCTTGATGCCTCCACTTCTTTCTTCTCATTTGCTCCTGAGTCCTTTGTAATTGGGCTTTTTAGTTTATTCTCAACTAAAACTGCTCTCTCCAAAGTTAACAGTGATCTTTTAATCACCAAATCTGATGGCTTTTCCTCAGTTGTAATCCTTGTCCTACATCTGACACTGTTAAGTTTTTCCCTTTAAAAAAATTATCTTTCTAACTTTGAGTGGTATGAAATGGTATCTCAGAGGTGTTTTTGTTTTTGTTTCTTTTGCTAGGCAATGGGGTTAAGTGACTTAAGTGTCAAGTGTCTGAGGTCAGATTTGAACTCAGGTCCTCCTGACTCCAAGGCCAGTGCTCTATCTACTATGCCACCTAGCTGCTGCTAGTATCTCGGAGTTTTGATATACATTTCTCTTCTTATTAGTGTTTTAGAGCAGAGTTTTCTATCATAGGTGAAGGTTTATAATTTTCTTTTTGGAAGGCTTGTTCATATTGTTTGAATGCATATTTTTTAGGGAATAGTTCTTGGTCCTTGTTTTTTTATCCTCTCTATAGTGCTCATACAATGTAGGATAGAGTTTTTTTTGGAGTGGGGAGGGCAAAGATGTTACTCTCCTCTATCCTGTTTATCTCAGTGAAATTCACTATCATACCTGCTCTTCTTTTCACCATTTTTAAAAATGTTGTTATATTTATGTTTTTTAAAGGACATTTTCTAATGAGACTTACTTCTTAAGATCTTAATTCATGAAAGAAGCAGTGTGGTAGGACACAGTTCATTTCCTGGTCCTACTCTATGCCCCTATCATAAGGACATCATATATCTTTCTGTTCACACCAGATGATGGTACTCTGGACGTGTACTTTTCCTGGGTTGAGACATATTTCTGGGATGGTTTACCTTTGCTTGGAGAAGGGGAAAGGGTGTCTTTTGAGTTATCCAGTCCCCTCTAATAATACCCATTATTAGGATCTTAGGTCCCTGTTGCTCCCCTCTGCACACTTGAGGATTCCCTTACCTGTTTCAAAACGTGCTTCTTGGTTCCTTAACCCACATCCTTCACTTCCGCTGTTCTTACCCTATTGTGTCACATCCCTCCAGGCAAATCGGAGATACCGTAGAGACCATTATATCTTCTCTTCTCCACGCCAAGCTGAGCAGGAGTATATTTCCTGCTTCCTCCTATCATTTGCTTCTCTCTTCTTGAGTGACTTTCCTTTGCATTAATTTCCCTTCCATTCTACAGATTTTGATTGACTTATAAGATCATGTAGGTTTCAGGCTATGGAATGTTAATTCAGTTCTTCCTGCTTTTCTTCTCCTGACTCTTTAATCCCCTTTCCTACCCTTAAATCTTTGGTTGCTAAGCTCCTTTTGCCTCTATATTATCTATATTCTTTTTAACCTTCAACTCGGGTATTTTTGAAATAGTAGCCTTTTCTTGCCCTAGAATCATGAGAAAATTGATTTCAGTATTTTGTCTTTTCATGTTAACTACAGTTATTTACTTTTTGTGTGTGTTTCTCTCATTTTAAGTGTTTGAAGTCAAATATCTTGCTTCTATCTGGTTTTTCTTGGAATAACAACTCTAATGCCTCACATTTTTCAAATGTCTATTTTCATTTACATCCTAATATCCTTTGCTTTTCAGAATATCTGATTCCAATCTCTTCTCTACATTCTTTTAGATTAGTAGTAGTCTTGGGCTATTTGAATTTATTTTCCTTAATAGCTAAAGGCTTTTTTCTTGGCTTCTTGCAATATTTGTTATTTGACATTGAAATTTTGAAGTTTAATCACTGTATTCCTTAATGAATAAAGCTTGGAGTCTATGTTGATGATTTGTGGATTCTATCATATAATAATAGGCCCTCTATTTTCAATATTTCTGGTCAACTTTCATGTATTGTTTCTTATAGTATTTAGGATATTCATGTCATATTTTTCTTGAAATTTGTGATCTCAAAATTATTTATGTGCATACTGTCCTGAAAGGTCAATATCTTTCAGTTGTATAGTACTTATGTATTCTTTAAATATTGTTTTTTGGGGGCAGCTGGGTGGCACAGTGGATTCAAGAGGACCTGAGCTCAAATCTGGCCTCAGACACATAACACTTACTAGCTGTGTGTAACCCTGGGCAAGTTACTTAACCCCATTGCCTAGCCCCCTCCCCCAAATATATATATATATATGTTTTAAATAGGTGTTGGTACATATGGGGCATTCTTTGGAATTGCTTTGCTAATTTTCCTTAAGATCTTCATTTTTGAATTCCCCATCTGCCATTCTCTCTTTCAGAGATTCATCTGGTATGGGCTGTGAATCACCTGATCTCTCACATACCCAGTTAACTTCTTTGTGAGGTCTCCATTCTACCCTAATTGTGCTAGATATTGAGAATGTAAAGACAAAAGTGAAACACTTCCTGTCTGTGAGGGCCTTGTATTCTCTTGGCAGGGAGATGTCATGTATGGAGATAACTAAATGTAAAATAATTTTAGGAGGAAGGGAGCACTGATAGTTGGGAACATTACAGGCTTCAAGAAGAATTTTGAATCCTAAATCCAGAATCCAGAATTTTCATGTCCTCAGCATGAAGATCAGAAAAAAAGACAATCATTCTTCCCATTTCTGCATCATGCCTGTGAGGCCTCTCCAGAGACCCTGCTCTGAGGTCCTCTGAGTTCTTGAAGGTTGTACCAGTGGAACCCAGGCTCCATCGGTTCCTACCAAGCTAGGAAGGTCTGAGCTTGGGCCCAGCAACAGCCTTTCAACAGCCAGCCTACCTACATGGGGTCATCGATTTAGAACTGGCAGGGGCCCCAGAGACTATCTAATCCACATACGGAGAAACTGAGGCTCACAGAGGTTAAAGTGAATTGCTCAAAGTCATATAAGCAGTAAGTGACCAACGCACAACATGAACCCGGGCCCTCTTATTCCCAAGCCAGTGCTCTTTCTGCTACACCACACTGCCTTTGTGAAGGGACACATCACCAGACTGATTATAGGATGATTAATTTTTCAGGCAGAACAGCTTTTACAGACTGTCTAATGACAGATCCTTGAAGTATGTTTTGTGGGGGCTTCTTAAACCAAATTTATTCTTTCACCTTGTTGTGTTTTGTCCTTTTGTTTTTTCATCAAATTTAGTTTTTTGGTTTTTTGTTTATTGTACAGTAATATCTCACTTAACCAGAGGTCATTTATCCTGCTATTGCCCCATTCAAGAATCTGGACAGAAGCAAAAAAGAAAAAAAAAAATCAGCCTCCCTCAGTAGGTGTGTCATGAAGTCTGTGCGTTAGCCTGGGGGTTTGGCTTATATGAGAGGCCTTTTAGGCCTTATTCTTGTTAGACACTATTGTCAAGAAACTTGGTTATCTGCTTTTTTGTCCATAGCAAATTAATAAGTGGAGCAAGGTCTACTAAATATAAAGATTTGACAGATCATAGAAGGAGAAAAACCAGGAAAAACTGTTAAACCAGAAAAACGCATGAGAATTAAAATAGCAAATCAACCGGAGGCTGACAAGTGGCCTTCATCAAGACACTGCCTCCTAAAGTATGTTGTATTATATCATAGCATAATCATTGATGCTCATAAAGAAAACACCTGGTTGTGGGCTTGCCTTTGGTTCAGGCTTAGCATTAAAACAAAATGAGCCAGTCAGACACAATCCAACACTAACAAAAACTAAGTTTACTTAACAGTAGTGTTGGAAAGGATAATGGGCAAATATACAGCACGGGTTTAGTTAGACAGAATCCCACTTTTCTCCAAGTAAGACATCTTCAGGTCTCAGGGTCACTGACTCTTTGGAGGCTGACCTTCTTATGTCTCAGGCCACCAGGAAACTGGCCAGCAGCTCTTTCTCTAATACCTTGCACCAGTCAAGTCTCTGGGATTGTTTCCATGTCTTTTAAGAGAAAACTACCCGTGCTCAAGGCTGGGACCCTAGTAAATATTATTCCTGCCATACCCTGAGGCATCAAAAAATTTTGTTTCCTTGAGAAGACAGGAAAGTACGTCATATATTTTAGGCAGATTTTTATCCCAGATAGCTCAATTGTTTAAAATTCATAGGATTTGTAGGGTCATAGATTTCAATCTGGAAGGGGACCTATAAGGCCTTCTAGGCCAACCCCCTTCATTTTATAGATGAAACTTAGTCCTAGAAAGGGCCCGAGGTCAGGCTGTGGTAGTCAGTGGGAGAGCCAGGACTCAAAGCCAGGTCCTCTGACTCTTGCTTTTCCCATTGTACTACACCACCTTCATTAATTTCGGTGTTTAAAAAGTTAAATTTCAGTTATTTAGAAAATTGTAGGAATAGCTTTTTCCCTAGTTGAAGTTAATAATAATAGCTAACATTTATATAGCTTTTTAAGGTTTGCAAAGTGCTTTATATGTGATAAATAATAATAGTAATAACAATAGCTAATATTTATATTATGTCTAAGTCAATTCTGGGAGGAAGGTGCTGTTATCATCCCCATTTTACAGCTGAGAAAACTGAGGCTCAGAGAGGTTAAGTGGCTTGTCCAGGGTCACACAGCTAGTTAGTGCCTAGGGCAGGATTTGAGCTGGTCTTCCTGCCTTCAAATGCACTCCTCTGTGCATAGCAAAACTAGAAGTCTAGCTGCCTCATAGAATGCCAGATTAATGACACATTACTGTATTCAGTAAAAATCTCATTACTCTTTAGTCATAGTTAGACTTAAACAAATTGTTTTCAGTGAGCTTCCCATACTGAAACTGTGGGGCAATTTATATATGCATTTGATTACATTTCATATAAAAATGTTACAAAAATGTTTCCGACTTAAATACTTTTCTTCAGACCACTTAATTACTGCTAATAAAGTAATAATGCTGATAAAGTAAAATGGGGCTTGTGGATAGGAACATGTCAACAGCTGAAATTTATATTTTATTTTTAGATTTCAGAATTTCAAGAAAAACACAGGAGGAGGCTGTTAGCATTCTATAGAGAAAAGGTAAGTCTGATTTTGACTCTGAATGTCAGAGTTGCTGTTTAAGGTTGTGTGCTCCCTGAGTGTTATGAAGCTGATGCTAGAATAATGGTCAGTAGGACAGGACTTTTGAATTGCTTTTTCAGTATTGGGAATGGGTTTGCCCTGTTCCATAGAGTGTCTTACATAGCTCCCCCCATATGCACTGGCACACATTTACATGACATCTAGCTGGGGCTGGGAATGTACTCTCTCGTGATTTTTTTTTTCCTAGAGACTTAGTATAATGTAACTAAAGTGGACCAAATGTTTATAGTTTATAGTTACTAGAGGTACTGAAAAAGATTCTCACATATAATGTTGCATTACAAAATTGGAGTGGTCAGCTAGGTGGCACGGTGGATAGAGTGTTAAACCTGGAGTCAGGAAGAGTCATCTTTGTGAGTTCAAATCTGGTGTGTGACAAGTCACTTGACCCTGTTTGCCTCAATTTCCTTATCTGTAAACTGAGCTGGAGAAGAAAAGGGCAAGCCACTCTAGTATCTTTGCCAAGAACTCCAAATGGGGTCATGGAGAGTTGAACACGACTGAACAAAATTGGAATAAGTCGATAGAGTGATATCACTTAGTCTTTATGACACAGATACCTTGGTTTTAAGTAAAACAACAAATGATTTTTAGAACTTTTATTCCCTATTTTATTGAGTTAGGGTAGGGTAAGGAATAGGAGGGCTTCTATGGAAAATGACTAATTGATAAAAACGTTTGAAAAAAATGTCCTTACTATGTGCCAAGCACTGCGCTAAGTACTGGGGATGCAGATAGAAGAAGAAGAGTCTTTGTTCTCAAATGACTTACACTCTGATTGGGGGAGAGAACACATGTAGAAGCATGCAGCCTTAGGGTGGATGAAAAGGCTGAGGGTCCTAAGAGCTCAGCAGCACTGTGGATGGCAAGACCCAGGAGTCCTGAAGGTGCTGCGGTGCACCACAGTCCTGAAGCTTGGAGGGGATAAACCAGCACCTTGGAGAGGAGGGGAGTGGGCTGAAAGGTTAGAGCAGAACACACATTCTAGGTTCCTTCTGGCAAAAGTGGGAGGGGGGCAGCTGTAAGTGAGGAAGGGATCATTGGCAGGAAGGTTGGGGGTGGAGAGAAAAAGGAGGTGCAGGGAAATGGGGCAAGAGCTGAATGGGCCCAGGGAGAGAGAGCGGGAGGCCGAGGTACTCAGAGAGGGAGAAAGGAGCGGAAAGTTGTTGGACAGGCTGTGAGTGGGATGTGTCAGTGTTAAACTGTTCTTGTCTACTCTGCTCTTCACCTGGCTGTGAATGTCAGAGTTAATTACCAGGAGTTATCACTGTCCTTTGAAGTCCTGCAAAACCTCTTGTGTGCTTTTCTTTTTAGACTTCAAAGTGAAACTTAAAGCTCTTTTTTCATAGCTTTCTAAAGGTTTTTACTATATATGTGAAGGAATGACTTGGGTTTAAGAAATTTGCTTTGGAACCTTAGAACTCTATCATCAATTTACATAGCTATCAGCCTGAAAGTCCCTTTGACAGGCCCCAAACTTCCTCATCTTTGTTCTTTCCTTCTTTGAGAAATCAGGCTGCTCCATTCAGATAGTGCCTAAGTATTACACTAGAGCTCTGTCTCCATTAGATTCTTTCCAGGTTGATGGAATTAAGGTGACCTGAAATTTTGGTGCCTAAGGCAAAAGAGGGGTGGGGGCTGGGGAAGAAAGAGAAGACAGCTTCAAGAAGGGACAGCACAGAGGAATGTGTTGGTGATCTTACCTGAGAATACCTTCACCTTCATTACCCGTAGGTGGCTTTATTTCATTTGGTAAAGTACAGCTTGTGCCCTCCACAGCAGAAGCCAGTGACCACTCATGACCCTCAAGGTAGAGGAGGAGGATATGCTATTTTACTCAGCCTTGGGTTGCAGGGAGAAAAAGCAGATGGGCCCTACCTTCAGGGGTTATGACTTGCGTAAGGGAGGGAATGGTAGTTGCAGTGGAAGCAAGGCCAGTAGCATGGGGTCATGTGAGGGGCCAGTGGCATTTGGGAGGCCGAGGCCCTCAGTTTGTGCCCTAAGCCCTCAGCTACCCTTCCCTGTACTCCAGATTATTTGCCTCATCCTCCCACCCCCAGTTTTTATTATACTTTCTGGCTGAGGTATCTCGGCTTAAAGAATGGTGTTAATAATGAAACTTTTGAAATTATTTTAAGAATTATTATACCTTCTCAGTCCTGGAGGTTGAGAGTTTTAAGAATTTTTTTTCAGTATAGAAGTCTTTGTTTTTTATAAGGGCAGTAGTTTTCACATCTGAATTGTCTGTACCCCATTGCCTAGCTAACTGATTTGGCAAAGGGTGGTTAGTTGAAGTTGAGAAGTGACTCTATTGTAACTTGTTTGCTGACCTCCAGAGGTTTTACTGTGAAATTTTTCTGAAAAAGCGTGTGTGTGTGTGTGTGTGTGTGTGTGTGTGTGTGTGTGTGTTGGGCTGCTAGAGGAGAGAAGAACAGTTTTAATCCTCACCCACATCATATTTGGGGTTTGGGAAAGATAAAGACAATTCTCTTAGTAATTGGGCTGTTTTTACATATAATGCCAGGACCTAAATTGTCACTGGGTGATGGAGGGAAAGGATGCGGAAGTGGCACCCTTCTAAATTTTTGTACCTGGGTAAACCCCTGCTGTGGATTTCTTGTTTTATTATTTTTTTTTATTAATTTATTTTCATTTATCAACAATCACTTCCCTATGCTTTTGCGTTAAAAATTTTTCTCCCCCTTCCTCCCTACCACTCTCCCCAAGACAGCACACAATCTGACATAGGCTATACATTTTTTTTGGGGGGGGAGGGTTAGGCAGGGGGGTTAAGTGACTTGCCCAGGGTCATGTGTTATGTGTTTGAGGCCAGATTTGAACTCAGGTCCTCCTGAATCCAGGACCGGTATTTGATACACCGAGCCACCTAGCTGCCCCTAGGCTATACATTTACATTCCTATTAAACATATTTTCACATTAGTGATGTTGTAAGTAAGAATTAGAACCAATAGGAGGAACCATCAGAAAGAGGAAACAAAACTCAACAGAAGAGAAAAAAAATAGCAATTCAACTTTCATAGTTCTTTCTTTGGATGTGGATAGCATTTTCCATCACGAGGCCTCTGGAGATGTCTTAGATCCTTGTATTGCTGGGAAGGGTTAACTTTATCAATATTAGTCGTTGCACAATGTGGCTGTTATTGTGTACAATGTTCTCTTGGTCCTGCTCACTTCACTCAGCTTCAGACCTTGCATTTTTTTCCAGGTTTTTGTGAAGCCAGCCTGTTCATCATTTCTTATAACACAGTAGTATTCCATTACATTCATATACCACAACTTGCTCAGCCATTCCCCAATTGATGGGCATCCTCTCAATTTCCAATTCTTTGCCACCACAAAAAGAGTTGCTATAAATATTTTTGTACATGTGGGTTCTTTTCCCATTTGTATGATCTCTTTGGGATATAGCCCTAGAAGTGCTATTGCTGGGGTCAAAAGGTACGCACATTTTTATAGCTCTTTGGGCATAGCTCCAAATTGCTCTCCAGAATGGCTGGATCATTTCACAACTCCACCAACAATGCACTAGTATTCCAGTTTTCCCACAGCCTCTCCAACATGTATCATTTTCCTGTTTTGTCATGTTGGCTAATCTGATAGGTGTGGTGTGGTGTGGTACCTCAGAGTTGTTTTGGTTTGCATTTCTCTCATCCATAATGATTTAGAGCATTTTTTCATATGACTATAGATGGCTTTAATTTCTTCATCTGAGAACTGTCTGTTCATATCCTTTGACCATTTCACAGTTGGGGAATGGCTTGTGTTCTTATACATTCGTCTTAATTCTCTACATATTTTAGAAATGAGGCCCTTATCAGGGAGATTGGTTGTAAAAATTCTTTCCCAATTTTCTACCTTCCTTCTAATCTTAGTTGCATTGGCTTTGTTTGTGCAAAAACTTTTCAATTTAATATAATCAAAATGACCCATTTTGCTTTTCATAATGTTCTCTATCTCCTGTTTGGCCATGAATTCTTCTGTTCTCCATAGATCTGATAGGTAAACTATTCCTTGTTCTCCCAGTTTGCTTATAGTATCAGCCTTTATATCTAAGTCATGGACCCATTTTGACTTTATTTTGGTATATGGTGTGAGATTTGGGTCTATGCCTAGTTTCTGCTGGACTTCTGTTTTGAAGCCAAGTGAGGGTTAGAGGTTTCATGTTTCTTCTGGAGGTATTTTCAATCTGGAGCAAGCAACATTGCAAAAAAGTGAACATATGGGGCAGGGTCCACAAACTTTTGGGGGGAAGAGGAGTTCCGTGTCATTTGTCTGTGTTCTCAGGATGGCTGTATTATTGATCTGTAGAGTTATGTGCCTGGGCTGGGGGTGGAGGGAGCAGGAGAAGGAACAGCATTGCCTAAAAATACTGATAAACCTCAGGCTGCATCCAGCTTGGAATCCAGAAGGATTCAGGATCTTTTGGTTCATCAGACTCTCCTGATTAGGGAACCCTGACAGAGAATCACAGAAAGGGGGCTTAGAGATCATTTAGGTCAAGCCCTTCATTTCACAAATGAGGAAAGGGACTCAGAGGTGAAGGGATTTGGCTTGGCCAAGGTCACAAGGTGGAGAGTAGCACTCTGTATATATTATCATCTGTATGTATATTTTATCTCCCGTGACAGAATTTAAACTCCTTCAGGGTAAAGATTGTTTTATCCTTTGCATTTGTATCCTCAGCAGCTAGTCAGTACCTGTTGTTCAGTTGTTTTTTAGCCCTGTCCAATTCTTTGTGACCCCAGGGTCAGGGGACTTTCCCAGTGTCACACAGCTAGTAAGTGTCTGAGACCAGATTTGAACTCAGGAAGATGAGTCTTCCTGACTCTAGGCCCAGCATTGGGCAGTAAGCTGGCGCCACATCTGTGAAAGGGCTTTAAAAGCCAAGCTGAGCAATTTATGTTTGATCCAAAAGGTTATAGGGGGCCATGGGAGCTTTCTGAGCAGGGAAGTGACATGGTCAGACCTGTGCTTTGAAAGTATTTGTGACTAAACTGGACAGAAGAGTCAGACAAGGCAGAGATGCTAATTAAAAGTCTGGTGCAGTGGTCCAGGTGAGAAGTTAGGAGCACCTATATAAGATGGTGACCATGTGAGTGGAGATGGTTGTGAGAAATGCTGTAGACGTAAAATTGACAGGATTTGGCAAGTGATTGGATGAATGAGATCAAGGAGAATAGAAAGATGAGGATGATTCCAAAGTTGTGAACCTGGGTGACTAGAAGGAGAATGGTGGTGTCCTCAACAGAAATAGGGAAATTAGGAAGAAGAAGGAGTTTATGAGTTTTTGATGCCTATAGAACATCCAGTTGGAACAGGAGGAAGAAAGTGGTCAGATTCAGTTTGAGAAAAAGCACACTGGTTTCAGCAATCCTAAGCTGCTTCCTGATGAGAAAACCCAGTTTGTTAATTCTCTTGTAATATTCTCTTGGTAATCCCATAATCTCCAGAGAATCCAAATTAAGTTAGGGGCCATAGACAGACTTGCAATGGGAGTAAAGTAGGTTGCAGTGATGACCTCCATGCAAAAAGTAACATAAGGGATATCATCACAGAAATGTATTGTTGAAAAAACAGGTAGTCCAGTTAGGTAGGGAGAGCAAGGAAGAACTCGTGGACGCCTTGAATATTGCACTGATGTTCAAAAAAGGTTAACAACTTTGAGGAAAGCCTCCAGGACCTGAGAGGATTTTGTGTTGGAAGAGTTATAAGAAACTATGGATAAAAATCTTATGTGAAAAGTGGCAAATAGGTTGGGATCTGCACGGATAGAGGGAACACCCCTATTGAAGAGGTCATGGATGCATGGAAGTGTGCAGATGCTGTTGTGATTAATAAAATGTGCCTTTGTTTAAATCATGATAAAATTCATCGTAGCTTTTTTCATCATGTATTTTCTCATTGTCTCCTAACTACCATTGTTATCATGTGGGAGGTCACTGAAATTTGTTGTTGTTAAAAAGTGGTCCTCATAATAAAAAAAAAAAAAGAAGTAGAAACATTGTCCTGGATTAACCAACCTAGTGTTATTTCTGAAAGAATTATTTGTAATATTAAGGTAGCTAGAGAGTGTCTCTTTTTGATGCTTGGGGTGGAGCTAGTTTTTTTAGACTGAAACTTCCAGTGAGTGGGATGTGGTTAATTTTATTTTGAGCGCACATTATGTGGAGTTTGACCAATTTTTTTCCTGAGATAATTGAATCGAAGTTAAAATGGCAAGAAGATCAGGACTCTATATTAGCCAAACCCCTGTCCATAGAATATAATACTTTTCAATTCCTAATCTCCAAAGCAGATGTTTTCTAAGTAAATATGTCAATTTATGCCACTTATTGAACGTGCTAATGTGTGGCATAAGTGCTAATTTTATGTAACTTTGATTTTGTCATGTAGTAACAAATTTAACTGTCAAAATATATTGTTAATTAATGAATTAATATTGGCATAGCTGGTATATTAATTCTGATACATGGGAATTGTTTGATTATATTTAGATTTCAAAATTAGAAGAATCTCTTAAAACATTAACACAGCAGATACAGCAGATTCAAAGGTAAGATGAAATTAAAGTTTTAGTAAGTCTTCAAAAGTAAATTGCAGTTATGTAGCACTTTGAAGTTTACAAAACATTTTCCTTGCAACCATCCTGTGAGATAATCAGGGCAAAGATTACCAAGATGAGTAAGCTGAGGCTCAGATTATATAGCCCATGCCTGAGCAGGAGTTTGAACCTAGGCTCTTGACTGCAAGGCTAGTGCTCTTACTGTGAATTTTGTATCTAGACTCTGCAACAGCAGCAGCAAGCATTTTAGTTGTTGAACCAGTATTCATTCACCAACCCAGGCTCTCATGTTCATTATCTTGGTGTTACCTTTAACCCTCGCTATCACTTCTCATATCAGATTGATTACTGAGTTTTATTGAGTCTTTCTCTGCCACCTTCACATCTCTAGCATCCTCTCTTTTTCGTCACTCTAATGAAGACCCTCATTCCTATCCACATGGACTATGGCAACAGACTCCTCATGGGTCTTCCCCTGCTCTTCTCTTCTTCTTCCAAACTATTCTGCACACCACTGCTAGACTTAGCTTCTTTTTTAACCTACTGATGTCACATTTCTGTTCAAATCCCTCAAGATTTTCCTGTTGCATACCAAGTAAAGTTCGGCTTCTTTGCCTAATATTCTTCCATTGTCTGGAGCCATCCTACCTTTCTAGTCTTTTTTAATCCTAGTTCCTTTTACGCATTGTGTATTCTAACCTAACTGAACATTTGCTGTTCCTGACATACACCTTGCCCTTGTCCCTGTCATTCCCTTGGTCATACTGTACTTGGTGTAGTAACTCATTTGATCTTCTTCCATGTCTGGATATACACTACACTGCCCATTAACGTTCTTGCCTGCCCTTTAAAACAGAGGTTATTAATCCTTTCTGTGTCATGGACCTCTTTGGTAGTTTGGTAAAGCCTATGAAATAAAAACAAAAAATACATAGAATTACATAGGAAACCGCATATATTGAAACATGTAAAAAAAAAGTTCAGAGACCCCAGATTAAGAACCCCTGCTTTCAGTCCTGATTCAAATACTTTTTCTTCCAAGAAACTATCCTTGATCCTCCCAGTTGGTAATGATTTTGTCCCCTTTGGATTTCAGGTGGCACTTTCTTGTACATCTCTGAAGACACTTCATATATTTTATTTTCTTCTATAGTCATTTGTGTGTGTCATCCATTCCACCCATTGGATTATAAGCTTGCTGAGGACAGAGACTATGCCTTATCTAAATATCATATCTCACCCAGGACTTAGTATAGTATTTTTCGTATAGTAAGCCCTTAAAAATTATTTTTTGAATTAAATTAAGTGCCCTCAGAGAGCTCTTATATAAAATAGAGCCCTACTATTCTGAAACATTTTGTTTATGCATGTAAATAAATGATTTAGTTGTTATATTAGCTTATCCTGGTACAATGGAAAGAGCACTGATGTTGGAGTAAGAGGACCTGAGTTCAGATCTTGCCTTTGGTACTTGTTACTTGTGTAGCAATGGGTAACTCAGTTACTTTCTCTGGGCCTCACTTTCCTCCTTTATAAAATGAGAAGGTTGTTGTGACATCCTGTTCAGCTCTGTATCTGTGATCCTGTGGTCGTGAATGTCCTGGAACTGTTATTTCAACAGGAATAAAATGTTCACAGTGGTAACAGTTAGGTGGCACAGTGGATAGAGCTGAGCTCTGGCCTTGGAGTCAGAAAGTCCTGAGTTTAAATCCAGCCTTAGACACTTGACATTTAATAGCTGTGTGACCCTGGGCAAATCACTTAACCCTGACTACCTCACCAAAAAAAAATGTTCACAATGACAGTTCTTTTTAGGATACTTAAAAATATAGTATGATGGATTAAGTAGCTGTTAATGTTAAATTTTTTTTTTATTTCATGTGGACCAATTAGCCTGAAATTTACCAGTAATAATAATTATTTATGTAGCTTTCTGTAGTTGATGTTGCAAAAGTTAAGGTTGCTCAGTAGTGCAAGTATTATCCCCATTTTCCAGATGAGGAAACTTAGGTCCAGAGAGATGAAGTGACTTGTCAGGCTCATAAGTAATAACAGTTTGGTAAGTGAATGAAATCACTAATGATGACTTCATTGTTTCCCCTCAGTTTTCTAAATAACCACCATGCCAGGCAGGGAGGCAGAAAAGTGTTTTGAAATACTTTTTTTTTTTTTGAAAATCATGACTTCTATAAATAAAACTTATTTTCAAAAGTATTGGTTTTTTAATTTTATGGTATTCTGTACTAGTTTAAATGAATCCATTTATACTAAGTTTTTAATGTTTTAATTTGATTTCTTTTCTTACCTCTTTTTAGTAAGGGGTCATCTCAACAAACCGTGCAGTTATCTGTTTCTAAGCCAGTAAAACACTCAGTTTCAGGTAAGTATAATAATGAAAAAAGATGCATAATTTTAAAGTATACGTCCTCAAAGTCCACTAAACAAGATTCTGAAATTAAATTTACTGTTTATCACAGCTCCTTCAGCAAAACCAGTTGGGTATTCATCATATTCATTCTTGCCAGCTTACTCATCAACCTCCAAAATGTATGTATATATCTGATGATGAGTATTTCTCCCACAGAGTTGGTAGTGACTCAATTTAGCCTTACAAAGAATTTGGGAAAAACTTTAATTTGACCTGAGAAATTTACACAAGCCCTTTCTTTCTCTTTTTCTCCTTTTGCCTTGTCATAAAGACTGCATACCTTATATACACTTGCATATAATAGCTACTTCACTGTCTTCCCTTTCTTAAGATTTCCCATCTGTTGCTGGTGCCATATTTGAAACCTTTCTAGTTTGGTAGAGCCTTAACATATTGTATGGTCATCTCTACACTAGAATGAAGCTTCAAAGAAGGGCTTTTGTGGATGTTTTGAGTTTTAGGCTCAAAAAATCCTTAGATAAAATGGTCCACTAATTTAGAAGTTAGCAACTCTTGGTAAAGGTGCCGTTGATTGGCACATAAGTATTTGTTGACATCATTTTCCACCGTGTGCAACGTTTTATTTTTCTCTTTCACTTATGGTATACGCTGCCTGTAATTCTGTAATAGGCTTTTTTATAACTATTTGGTTGGGAGATTGGTTGCTTTTTCCCCCCACTTCCTTTTTCTCTGCTTTCTTTCTTTCTTATTCTATATTCTTATTTTTCTTCTCCCTTTCTAATTTTTCCTTAGACAATCTATGCGACACCTAGGCTAGTTAATTCAGGTTTTTTAATATTGTTGTTAATATGTTGTTTTGAACATTTTTAATAGAGGCTTAGTCTGATACATCATCGTAGCATGGAGGTGAGGCTCAGGGCTTTCAGAGGTCGTACCAATGGGTCACAAGCTGTGGCAGGACCAGCCAATTTTGAAAGCTTTTAAGTATGGAACCAGTGGTGGAGTGTAGTCTAAGGACCAAGTTCGGTTTGGAGAGACTTATCATCCTAGTGTGGGCCCCAGGATATGGTTTTCTGGGAGCAAAGCAACTCATTAATCCCCCTGAAAGAGTTGCTTTATATATTAGTAGGAAGAGTACCAAAACAGCTAAAGTCATGGATCCTTGAAATATTGAAGTTTACTAGTTAAATGTAGTTCAGTGCTGGGGTTAATTCATATGTTGTATATTTACTAGAGTGGAGTCAATGGACATTGATCTTTCACCTTCTCCAATGAGAAAAGTAAGTTAATTTATTTGACATCCTTTATCTTTATACAGTTGCTTGCAACTTGATAAGCTCCATGAAAGTGAACCATAGGTAGTTCCACAAATTCTTCCAACTTTGTGATTGACAACATCTTTACTTTGTGTTAGGCTGTATCTGACAGATTTGGTGGTAGGTTCACAAAATACCTTCTGTCCTCTAGATACCTTCTTCCCCTTTAGTCTCTGCCAAGTGCCTGAGCTGAGATGATAAAGTCAGCAAATAATAATAGTGCCAAGAATCCCAGGTTTATGTTTAGGAGTGTTCAGCAGTTATAGGGAAGGTGGAATGTCATAGACCTGTAAATTGTCTGCCTCCAAGGTTGTCAGAACTAGTGTTAATAGCCAACATACAGGTCCAAGATTCAGCTATGTGAGATTGCCAGAATACTTGAGGAGATGAATGCAAGCAGTTCAGTGGTTGTAAAGTATGGCTATAGATTACTTTATTTAAACATTTCAAATAAGAGACTAAATATCTATATCTTAAAATAGATTGCTCCATGGGCCTGGGTCTGGATATTTAATATTTCTTCTAGATGTATTTATTTGATTCAAGCTCCTTTGCCTGACAATCAAGGTCGTCCCTGATTTGGTGCCAGTCTGCCTTTCCTGGTTTATTTCAGCACACTCCCCTCCACACAGTCTACTGCAGCCATCCCTCAGACATGTGGTATACTCCTGTGCCTCCACAATCTTTCCTTATGAAACAATCCTGCAAACTACTACTGCACTCTCTAGGTCTAGAATGTGTCCTCCCTCTCCCTCCCTCTCTTTACTTGTTTTATTCCTACTCATCCTTTAGATTCTAATTCACATTTCATCTCTAGCAGGAAGCCTTCCCTGATTCCCTGGTCGTTAAGGACCTTGCATCTCAGACCCTCACACGGTGCTTTGTTTGTGCCCTTCTAGGACCCTTCACCTGTCACATTATGTGGCAGCTATTTGTGTTGCTGTCTTGTGCCCTGACCCAGTGAAGGCAGAAGCAGGTCTTACCTGAAGTTGAATCTCCCTAGTAATAAGCACCCTGTGTGAACCATCTTTGAGGCAGATTTTTTTTTAACTGGCTTTATGATTCCATCTGTGAAGGGAGCTCTGGGGAGGCCCTCTGCTGAGAAGTTAAGGAATTTGCCCAGGGTCCTACCCGTTATGTATCAGGGCCATCACCTAAACACACCGAAGGCTATCTCTACTCGTTGGGCTAGTTAAAGCATAGACTATTAAAATTAATACTCAGTTAAGAGTATGGAATTTTAGAGTGGGAAAGGGCCTTGAGTATTTTGTTGAATTAATTTTTTTTTTGCTTTTTGGTGAGGCAGTTGGGGTTTAGTGGTTTGCCCAGGATCACACAGCTAGTAAGTATCTGAGGCCGGATTATTTTGTTTAATTATACAGAGATAGGGATGGGACTTGTGGTTCCATTGGTACAAGGTGCTCTTGGGCAAGCATCTTCTCTGAAACTGAGAGTTGCAGAGAGTTGCCTAGAGCATTGAGAGGGGAAGTGATCTGCCCAGGGTCACATAGACGGCACATGTCAGAGGCAGGACTTGAACCATATCTTCCTGGTTCTGTCTCCTGTACCAGCTTACCTGATGAGGTAATTATAATTAATTCCTTTCTGTTTCTCTGAAAAGGAAGTTGACTATGTCTAGACTAAGAAACTTGGACTGCATTCAGTGTACAGTAAGGAGCCATTAAAAGATTTCTGAGCAGGGCAGTGGCATGATTATTTCTGTGTTTGATGGACTAGAATGGAATGAGACAAGAGAATAAGGAGGTTGTGGTGATGGTGCAGGTGCAAGGTGATGAGAGAGTGAAGCAGGGGAGCAACAGTGAAAATAGAAATGGAAAAATAGCAGGAGAGATGTTGGAGACACATACTTAGAAAAGAAGTGAGGGAAACTGCAAAGAGAAGAGAATCTGAGTCTCTTGTTCTTAGCCTGATCCTCTGTCCATTATTCCTGGGGGGTTAATTTAATGTAAGATTGCAGTGTCCTTTCTCGGAGATTTTCGATAAGATATTTTAAAAAACCCAACTCTTAATATCATCTATGCTGTAATCACATTCTGCTTTGTATCATAGAAGTTTTTATATATCTTAGAACACTCCCATACTTGAGATTGTAAGATTCTTGAGAGCAGGTACTGTGTTATTTTTCACCTTTGCATCCTTAATTCCCAGCACAGGGTTGTGAACATAGCAAGTGCTCAATAAATATTTCTTGAATTGAAAAAAAGAATTTGATTCTGAAATCTTTTGTGCTCCATCTCTTCAAAAAGTTGTCAGTGAGCTCACGTAAAATATCATATCAATTATGCTGTTGATCTTACTAAAATATTTGTAATGGAAAATACTAATTTTATAACATTTCGTGTTTTTTAAACATTTAACTTAGCTTGAGACAGCAGCAGGCCCTGCAAGGCTCTCACTGATCAGTCCACCTCAAGATGGACGAATGGGTATGTAAAAATAGCATTCTTGCAGCTTCATCCTAAATTATTTCATACACACATATGTACACACATACACACACACACACACACACATACATGAAATGGGATTCCAATCTATAGCCATTGTTAAGAACAATTTTGGAACTCTTGACTTCAGAGCCAGTTAACAAGTCTCACAACAAAGTCAAACTCATGACTTTATGTTCAAATTGGTTTTGACCAAACATTTCTGTTGTTTAACTTGACCCCTCACCTTTTTCAGTGTACTTGGTTCCAAATGGCGGTTTCTAGAAATCAGCTCCATATCTCTGCCATCATCACTTCATCTCATTGTGTAGGATTTTGTGTAGATTTCGACAAAGATTGCGATAGGAAGAACAGCATGAGCCAGAGCTTGGGGGTTCACAGAGCGTAGCACATCTCTGGGTGATGGGAATGTGAAAACCTAACCAAAAACAATAGCTGCCTTCCAGTCTTTAAAAAGCTGTCACATGGAAGAGAGAATAGATCTGTTCTGCCTGCCCTGGAGGGATGAATTTGGAACTGTGGGTAGAAGCTTCAAAGAAGCAGGTTGAGGCTTGATACAAGGAGAAACATCAATCATCAAAATCTATCCAAAAGGTGGGCTAGCTGCCCCAGAAGGTGGGGGGTTGCCTTCACTCGAGGTCTTTATCGGCTTCCTCTCAGCTTGAGCACCGGACAGCAGAAAGAACGTTGAGCTTTGAGTCAGAGGATCCAGGTCTAAGCCTAACCTGGCTGCTAATTGGATGTGTGGCTGTGACCAAGACACTTCTCTCTGGGCCTTAGTTTCTTCATCTGTTAAAAGAAGCAGTTGGAAAAATCTGAGAGGACGTATGAAATAATGCAAAGTGAAGTGAGTAGAATCAGGAAACACTGTACACATTACCAAGGATATTATAATGATAACTGTGAAACACGTAGGTCCTCTGATCAATGCAGTGATCTGTGGCAGTTCCTAAGAACTCATGATGAAGAACTGCTGTCCACCTCCATAGAGAGAGCTGATGGACTCTGAGTTGCATGTCTTTCACTTTCTTTTCTTCCTCTTTGTTACAGCATGATTGATATGAAAATATGTTTTTCATAACTTCACACATATAATGGATATCTTGTTGCTTGCTTTCTCACTGGGTGGGGAAGGAGCTAGAAGGATGGAGAGAATTTGGTACTCAAAACTTAAAAAAAGAATGTTAAAAGTAAAATATTTAAAAATTAAAACATTTTTTAAAAAATCATTGAACTAATAAAGCTGTTAAAAAAAAAAAAGCAGTTGGACTAGTTTATCTAGAAGATCCCTTCTAATCCTTTGAAATAGTCCTGCACATTATTGATATCTTTGTCTTCCTAAAGTTCACATGTAGTAACCCATTCCTTTACTCAGAAACTTTAAGTGGCTCCCCATTGCCTTACAAATGAATTACCCATCCCAGAGCCTCATATTCAGAACCCTCTACAACCTAGACCTCACTGCCTTTTCACCTTCTACTCCCACTATTTTGCATTCTTAATCTTTTTTTAAATTAATTTATTTTAATTTATCAACAATCACTTCCATATACTTTTGAGTTTAAAGTTTTTCTCCCCCTCCCTTCCCACCACTGTCCCCAAGGTGGTGCACAATCTGATATAGGCTATACATATACATTCCTATTAAACATATTTTCACATTAGTGCTGTTGTAAGTAAGAATTAGAACCAATAGGAGGAACCACCAGAAAGAGGAAACAAAACTCAACAGAAGAAAAAAAAAGTAGCGAATAGTATGCTTCAATCTGCATTCAAACTCCATATTTCTTTCTTTGAATGTGGATAGCATTTTCCATCACGAGGCCTTTGAAGATGTCTTAGATCTTTGTATTGCTGGGAAGAGTTAAGTTTATCAATATTAGTCATTGCACAACGTGGCTGTTATTGTGTACGACGTTCTCCTGGGTCTGCTCACTTCACTCAGCAGCAGACCATACAAGTCTTTCCAGGTTTTTCTGAAGTCAGCCTGTTCATCATTTCTCATAGCACAATAGTATTCCATTACATTCATATACCACAACTTGTTTAGCCATTCCCCAATTGATTGGCATCCTCTCAATTTCCAATTCTTTTCCACCACAAAAAGAGCTGCTATAAATATTTTTGTACATGTGGGTCCTTTTCCCATTTGTATGATCTCGTTGGGATATAGCCCTAGAAGTGCTATTGCTGGGTCAAAGGGTATGCACATTTTGATAGCCCTTTGGCCATAGTTCCAAATGGCTCTCCAGAATGGTTGGATCATTTCACAACTCCACCAACAATGCATTAGTGTTCTAATTTTCCCACATCTTCTGCAACACTTATCATTTTCTTGTTTTGTCATCTTGGCCAATCTGATAGGTGTGATGTGGTACCTCAGAGTTGTTTTGATTTGCATTTCTCTAATCAATAGTGATTTAGAGCATTTTTTCATATAACTATAGATTGCATTCTTAATCCTAACCACAGCCAGAGCTGTAAGTGGAAGATGGTCAACAACAGCTACTGGGACTTTACGCTAGTGTAGCAAAAATGAGAGGACACTTAAAACACTTTCAGTCTTTTAGCATCTTAGAAACAACTGAACTTTGTGCCTAAGTAGGTTGAATAATTAGCTAAAATAGGAAACTCCCAGGGTAGCTCCACGTTTCTGCCTACCATCTCTGCCATGCCCTTCTCAAGTAAACTCCTGGGCCCTCCTTCCTTCCCTTCTCTTCATCTAATGTTTTCCCAAGATCCTACCCTAACTCCCACCCCTTTTATAATGCATATCCCAAACATGCTTGCTTTGGGGTATAAAAGTTGCTCATTTTTGTTTTGCCTGTAGTAGTAATTCTCAATGATTTTTGGTTCCAGGAACCCACAAAAAGTGTGTTGTGAATCCCTAGAGTAATTTAATGTTCTGCTCATAGTATTTTTAGTTTTTATTCATTAAATGCTAACTACATAGATAATTTCTGCTTCCAAAAGTTCCAAATTTAAAATTGATAATTTTTTTTGCCTAAAAGTTTAAAACTAAATATAAAATTATAAAATTCAAATGACAAAATAATCGTGCATATTTTATGGGGGACATTCCATAAGAAATAAAAGAAGTAATACAGCCAGACCTCATATATTATGATGATCTGTAATACTTCATATTGAATTTCTTTAATAATTTTTGTTAAATATAAATAAAAATGCAATAAATTTCATCTTATAAGAAACTTCACATACTATGCTAATCATATGTAAACTTAGTTTTGGTGGACTTTTTTTGTTTGAGCAAAAGTTTGAAATATTTGGCTCAACAATAGTCTTAAATCTAGTTTTTCATCGAGTTTAATTCTGTATTTTTATTTAAAACAAGAATAAAATTAAAATACTCATTCACCCAAAAATATGGGGAGGAGTATGAAAATTTTACAAGTTCTCTTGCTGAGAAATGGAACTTAATTTTTTTTTTAGCCAAAAATGTATAAGGGTGTCAATTTTGAATGATGTTTGTAGTCCCAAATCAATTGAAAAAAATCATTTTTCTTTTTCATCTGTTGTCAGTTCACCAGCCCTAGACCTAAAAGACTTGTCAAATGGGCTGTGAATCCAATTTGATTTATTGTAAATTTCTGGAAAATTGTTTTATTCATTGAAAGTAACTTCTAAGAATTTTAGATGCTCCCAGATGTCTTTCTTGACGGCCTGATCCAAGGCTAGTTCAGAGATAGTTCCAAGGACAGAGCTAAAGCTCTAAGGAGAGTTCATTTTGTAGTAAGAGATGATGTAATGTCATAAAGCGCGCAGTACTGTTCCCAATTGTGTAGTTCCAAAATTTTAGTTTCTTAATCACGTCTTTTACCTTGAACATTGAAAATTTATATTTGTGCCCTATAATAATGTGTTGAGCTCATTAATTTTTAAAAAAGATATCTGCCAAATATGGTAATCTTCTTAGTCATTTCACTTGTACATTCAGGTGAAAAGGATGGTCGGTGAAGGTAACAACTAACTCGTTTTTCAAATCCACTAGATGAGTAATAATCTGACTGGGGGAAAGTCACCCAGCAGCTGTCTGTTAGAAGCGTAACATGCTTGCTACCCATGTCTTTGCACGAAATGATAAATAACCAAGTAGGTCTTGATTTTATAAAATGAGTCATTGTGGCTGTCTGTTTGGTGTCAGCACTTCTATGTGGATGCTTTAGTGTGTCTGTACTATATTTGCATTCGTTTTTTCAGTACATGAAACGGCACCCCTAAATTGCTGAGCCGTCAATTATGCTCTGTCTGTACACATTCCACAGCAAGAGGACCGACTGATTTGTTTCCCTTCAAAGTATGAATTAGGTTAAAAATGTTTTCTCCTTCTCTTAACTGATGGCAAAACAGCATATTTTCCTCTACTTTACCATTCTGCAGATGTATCTTATAAACATAATTAAAATTGTTGGGTTACGAATATTAGCTGTCCCACCTAAATTGCAGAGCAGAAGTGTTCTTTTTGTAGGTTTTTCTCCAATAACTGTTTCAGAACTTTTTGATGCAATAATGTCCAAAGTTAAACTTGATAATTGCTTTGGCACATGTCAGAATTAAATTTTTCTGTAATGATGTGAGCTTCCTTATTTATTTTATTTTTTGCAGTTTGATAACTTATTAAATATGAAGTTCAAATTGCTTTTTTTACTTGTTTATTCACAGAAAAAAATGAGTCAATATTGTGTGTTTCCAGATCTTGTTCTGTCCACTTAAAAAAATCAACAGGCTTATCAATATTGCTTTCATGTTTTGACTGTAAATGGCAAGACAAAAGGAAAAGTTTTCAGCTGCTATATGCAAGAACTCCACAAATTATACATTGCGATCATGGATAGTCATTTTATCCAATAAATGAGGAACCAAATTTAATGTATTCTTCATTGTATTTCGTCTTTATCATTCTTGTAATTCAGGTATCTCAAACATCTTTGTGCATTATTCAGAATTATGATTTATCCATTGACTTTTACTAATTTTTGGATTATAGTATGCTGAATTTGAATGAATATTTTGAGATTCCTCATTAAGACATCTTAAAGCATTCTTTTTTTAATGTACTTCTAGTCTCAATCCAGTGATCCATTGGGACTGTTATAATTTTTCAAATAAAATGAAAATATTCATACAAAACTTTCATTTTTGTATTTAATAACTTGTTAAATATATATTAATTCTATGCCAGTACAATTGATATAAATGTGTATTCCTGTGTATTTCCAATAGACAGGCATTAGGACACTTATGCAGCTAAACACTACTGTCACATTTATACATGGACTCTAGAATATATGGCTACTTAACCAGTTAACAAAAATGAGTAGCTAGTTATAATATAAAGAATTTGTTTTTCTACTGGCTAATGACAAATGCTATATGAAGTGATAGATGTACCCAAAATTTAGTTGCATATATTGTTTTAACAGTGTATGTATATAAATTAACCTTTGTAAGAAAACAGTCTCTTCAGACTTAACTTTCTTCCCTTTTATACACGGGCTACACATTCATAGAAACTCTAGTGAAAGGCTGACCAATGTCACCAACCAGATTGAAAATCCACCAGATAGAAGAAGAATAATAACATAAGCAGGAATAAGTTTAAATTGGAAAACAGCCTTAGTACTGCATTGAGAGGCTATGAGCTTTGTTTCTGCCAAGCCACGAGAATGACAATAAGGGCACTACTGTGATGTACAGAATACAAAAGAGGGTATGCATATGCTTTGGAACGTTTTTGGGGGAATCAGTTTACATCAAATGTTGAATCCTTGTGGTATTTTGGAAATAATTTGATGATTGATTGAGAAACTGTAAGAATAATTAAGCGTAGAAGTGGTCAGAGTTTGATGTAATTGCTGCGAGAACACCAGTAGTTGTGTTCGTGATCATGATGGTTCCAGATCACTGCAGAAACTAACCTATAATGTTTGGAACACACATGTTCTTGTTGTCATATATGTGTGTGTAGATAGATACTTTATACATATATAGTATATGTAATATAATTGGACAGTTGTTTACTGATTAAGAAACCATTAAAGAATTTTTAGCATAAACCCTTTTGGACCATCACAAACCCTCATGGGGGGTTCACAAACAACTAAATGGGAACCACCGCCCTACAGTAATGAAAGCACAGGTTCAGATAAGAATAATAGCTCATGTTATCAAGTTTATAAAATGCCTTACATAGTTTTTTTAGTTGCTTCTCACAAACACCTTGTGTAGGTATAGGGATAGGCACAGAGTCACAGATTTTAGATCAGAGTATTTAGAGCTGGAAGGGAACATAGAGATTATTTTGTTCAACCCATTTTACAGATGAGAGAATTAAGGCCTCCAGAAGGAAGGTAACTTAACTGAGGCCACACAGGTAGAAAGTAACAGAGCTGGATTTTGAACCTGGTTCCTCTGACTCCATGTGCAAGTCTCTTCCTCCAATACCACACTATGATGTCCTACAGCTTTACATTCTGTGGAGTGAGAGAGCCAGAACTGGAGCCCAGGTTTTCTGGACACACACACACACACACACACACACACACACACACAAAATGTGTATGTGCATTGTTCAGCCATATTTATCTATACTCAAGTGTATGTTTGGCATAGGAGTTACACTCTTGTGCATCGTGGGGCAAGAAAGTTGTGTCCTAAACATTAATACATTAAGTAACATTTATTTGAGGAAAAAATGATAAAAAAAAATTAAGTAGAATCAGAGCAAATTGTTTTATCTTTCTAAAAGGTGTCTTATTGAAGCAAGTATAATATTTTAAAACATTATTTCACAGGAATTGTTTCTCACAGAGGGCCCCAGCTAATTGGACTTTCCTCAAGCCAGAATAGCGTATCAAGGTCTGTATGGTCATTTATGTGTACATAAAGGAGGAGGATATGTTGTATGTTTAATGTTATCTTGTAATCATTTTGTTGTTAGGAAATTGCTTACTTCGTATTTTTCCTTATTGAATATATTGTATATATAGTTTATTGATTGATTCTTATAATGTTAGGAAATGTTGAATCATTGTTTTGGAACTTTGCCCACTAAAGTGAACGAAGTATGTTGTTATTGTGTGTAATCATCAAAGAAATGTGTTAAAGTAAGAATTTCTCTTATGGCATCCAAGGAAATCGGAAAGGCTAACATTTTAAAAAGTAAACATGGAAGTGAGCGCCCTCGCTTGTTTCAAGTTTCGTCATCCAGAACTGTGGCTCTGCTTGTTTCCTTTTTGGTGCCATTAGGGTTGATAGCTCAGTAGATCTAGTCCATCCACTTTGGAAGTTTTATTTATTTATTTTTTATGACTCATCTCCATTTTCCTCTAGGATCAAAGTATAAAATCCTTTGGCTTTTAAAAAGCCCTTCACAAACTGGCCTCACCTACCTTTCCAACCTTTTAAATTATTATTCCACTGCCCACTCTTTAGTCAAATCGACTTTACTGTATCTCATCCCTAATACTCTGTCTTCCATCCCTTTGCTTTTGCACTGGTTTTCTCCCATTCCTAGAATGCTCTCCCTCTTTATCTTTTCTTCTTCCTTCTTTTCTTGCTTCCTTCAAAATTCAGCTCAAACACCACCTGCTTTGTGGAACCTCCAGTACCACTATAGCCCCTCTTCCCTCCAAATTACCTTATATTTTTTTGGCCTCCCCCAATAGGATGTAATGTCCTTGAGAGTGAGGAGGACAGTCTACTGGTCTAGCTTTATCTAGTGCTATTTCTCGTCCCATATTTTGTGTGCTACCCACACCAGACTCTTCTCCATTTCCTTTCTGGCCTTCCCTGTCTCTAAACTTTTACCTACATCATTTTCCACGCCTGGAATAACTTCCCTCATCTCTTTTTCTCCTCTCTTCCCCTTAGCCTCCTTCCTTTAAGATGTCTACTCAGTTGCCCCATTGTCCATGAACCTTCCCTTGCCTTTCCATTTTAAAGTGCTCGCCCCTCAGATTTCTGACAGCATTTTACCTGTTATCTTTTCTTAGCCTTGTACCATAGTCATTTGTGTTCTTTCCATCAAATTGTAAGTTCCTTGAGAATGTATGTTTGCTGTTTTTCATCTGCCCTTGTATTCCTAGAGTCTGACCTTGAGTCACATCACCTCCTTAGCTATGAAGGGAAGGAGTTGGAGCAACGACCTCGGAGGTCCCTTCTAGTTCCATATCTATGATATGAAATTGACATTAATTGTTAATGATAGTGCTTGACTTGTTCTTGGTGAGGAATGCTGGTTTTGTCTGTAGTCTAGCCATGCCTCTTCCCATTTATGTACATATATACAGTTTCCATTTTAAAATCCAGGACTGGGGCTTTCTATTTATCATGGTTAAGTTTCCTCTTGTTAGGTTTGCCCATAATCCTAGTCTTACATGAATGAGAATGATTAGAAACAGCTTTCATGTGCGTGAGGGAGCCTCCTTGTTCTCTCAGGAGCTCTTGGTATCTGCAGATGACATGAAGCTGGGAGGGACAGCTAAAACTTTGGGTGATGGAGTCAGAATCCAAAAGGACTCAACAGGTGAGAAAGTTGCGTGGAATCTTAATAATATGAAATTTAATGAAGACAAATGGAATATCCTACACTTGTGTTCCCCAAAATTAATTTCATGGGGACAAAATTGGATAGGAATACCCAGAGAGAAGCTCGGATGAAAAAAAGATCTTGGTGAACTCTAAGCTAACATTATGAGATAATAGTACAAAACAGGGGCCCAAAAAGCTAAACTGCATGAGAGGAATGTGGTTGGTGTCCAGGCCTTGGGAAGTGATAGCCTCTCTTTGTTCTGCTCTAACCATACCGTAGCTCAGACGGCATCCTATATTCTGATGGCATATTTTAGGATGGGCTTTGATAAGTCGGAGGACCTCTGAAGGAAAGCTTAGAGCCCAGTGGATGATCTTGACATACAAGGATTTGGTGACGCATAAGTTGGAAAACAGAAAACACGCATGTTAGCTCTCTAAAATGCTTGAAGGAAAGGGAGTTAAATTGTTCTGTTTGGCCTCAAAGGGAGCCACTAGGACCAATGGATGGAAATTTCAGGGAATTATTTTTAGTCTGAATAAGGAAAAACTTCATAATAATTAGAGCTGCCTAAAAGAAGAACAGGCTGCTGGGGGTCGTAGATTCCCCTTCACTTGAGTTCTTTGAAGAAGAACGCATTCATTGTCCTCTTGTTGAGGATGTTGCAAAGGTGATCTCAGGTATGGGCTGAACTGGATGGCTTTTGAGGTTGAGGTTCTGTGATTCTCCACTCTTTATTCACTTTCCTATAGTACCCAACCAAGCTTCCCGAAGGACACATCTGCTTCCTTTTTTTGGTTATTTGGTTATTATCAACATATGAATAAGCTCCCAGAATTCAATGATAATCACTTTTCAGGGGGTAAAGGTTTCATATTCTCATTTATTCTAATCTTTAAAAGTTTATTGTGACTGGTATGGTAAGGTGTTATATGGTTATTTGAGAATAAGATGAAAATGATAAAGCTGATTGATTTTAAGTTATCTGATAGACAAGAGCGTAGACATCAAACCACTTAACCACTCAACGATTGAGGCAATTGTTCAAAACTCTCAGGTGCAGAGAAGGTATAGACTTGTATTAGTAAAGGGAATTTCCTCATCAGGGAATTCTCTATCACTGAAATCATAGGCTGGTTTTTGTTCCTTTTTCGAAGAGGTCACATGAGTCTGTTATCTGTAAGATAACTTTTAGCATATTCTGTGCCTTACATGGGTGTATAATATGCTTCCTAGTTATGTAAACCATAAGTAAAACCTTGATTATCTGTATAATCATGTATTAATATATGGTATAGTAATTGTATATGTGCAAAAATTATCTATATGTAAATCATGCACTTTGATAAGTAATGTTATATTAAACTAAGGAAAATATGAGGAAGGTAAATCTGCAGCCGAAGGTAAATTTTAAAACCAAATTTAAAAGACTTGGGTTAATCTACAGTGGATTTCATTATTTAGCATGTATAATCAAAATCATGTTGTTAAAAGAAATGTGTTAATGATTATATTGCATTATGTTTAAAAGGACTCCACCATCACAGATTCCTTATAATGGACCTTCACATGTTCTGTCATCTTCCTTGCAAAGTAGAATAGGCATGTGGGATACTTCTGGCTTCAGAGTTCCTCAGTTTACACCTCCTCCATCTCAGTCTTCAGTGCCAAGACAGCCAATTAGCATATCTAATCTTCTGCAGAGGCAATGTTTAGGCAAGTGAATGATCTAATTTTAAAAATTAAGTAACTATAAAAATACTTTAGTTCTTGTATAATAGAGTATTAATTCACTTGTATTCAAGAGTTGTATTTATGAGAGAATTTATTTTAAAGAAAAGCTACCAGTTGAGAAAATAGTGAATATTCATAGGAATTCTGTTTCTAATCCTTTGTGCAGATAATGTAGCTAAAAAATTTATTATTGTTTATTTTTCTGTGGAATTTGTGTTCAGACTTTGGTCTACAGCAGTGATATATATAGATATAGATATAGATATAGATTAGATATAGTTAAGTGACTATGGTCACACAGCTAGGAAGTGTCAAGTGTCTGAGGCTGGATTTGAACTCAAGTCCTCCTGACTCCCAGGCTAGAGCTCTATCCACTGTGCCACCTAGCTGCCTTTTTATTATTGGTTCTTTATAAAAGACTTTAAGTACTCTGGTTCTCTGGTGTACTTGAGAAATGGGAAATCTGAATTTTAAAAATGTGTTCCAATGTGTGTTTCTTGTACTTCCCTAAAGGATGTGTTTATTTGAATTTACAGAGACTGATTTTATTTCCATTTTTCTCAAATACACAAAATTCCAAACTTGTTTTAGGTAGCTATATGTTTTATATGCACTTAACTATAATACATGTGGATGCAGGCATATATATATATATATATATATATATATATATATATATATATATATATATATATATATATATATATATATTTCATATATGCTTATTCTTTATTACAGGATCTACTCTTCTTGGAGGAAACACACTAGGAAGATGATTGTGGTTTTTGTGATGATTGCTTTCCTTTAATTTTTGAGTGGATTCCTCTATCAACATTTGTCTATTAGCCATTTGCATGTTGTGCCCATTTTTCTCGATGCTACAATTAAGTGGATAATGTCATTGAATAAAGAATATTTTTCTTATTTCTTGGAGAACAAACATCTTTCAAAAAAACTTTTCGCATAGTAAAATTATACCCCTTTAAAATGTTAGTCTTTGGGAACAGGTTTAACACTTTAGCATCAATACTATAGTCTGTATATATACTGTATAGACTCTTCTGTGTGTGTTTCATTTTGAGGGAACATGATTTGATCTGTCTTTCTGTAACCCTGCAAACAATGACTATTCCTATTTTGGGTCATCTTTGCTAATTTGCTGACTGTAATGTGGCACATAGGTGCTTGGTACATGTTTATTGACCTGGAATAGAACAAAAAGAACACAGAATTATTGTCAAAAGAGTCAGATTCTAATCCTGGCTCTCTCATTTGCTGCCTCTGTATCCTGGGGCAAATCATCTCACTTCTCTGGGCATGTGTTTCCTCATTTTGTAATGTAAGAGACTAGATGATCTGTGAAGTCACTTCCAGATCCTAAATCCTATGAGCTACTAAATCAACTGGAAAATTAAAAAAGAATTTAGTTTGGTTGGTTAAATCTATTTGGAAGGGATGCTAAAAATTAAAAAGGTGATTTGATGCATTTGTAAAGACAACCCAATGTTTTGTCCAGATTGGCTAAATATTTCGCTTTTTATGTGTATGCTATCACTATCATGCTGATGATAAATAGCCAAAAGTCACTTCCCAATAGATAAGTGGTCGTGAGCAAACAGTTCTCAAAAGAATTGCAAGCTGCCTAAAACCGTATGAAATAAAACTCAGAATTACTAACAGGAAGAAGAATACAAATCAGGATAGGCTTGAGGTTCCATAGCATGACCAGCAAATTGACAAAGCGAATGAAAAATGGAAATAGGCATCATTATCAAGTGCCCTCACCAGGCACTATGGTAGTAGACATTGGAGACAGAAGTATGAAGAATGAAACACTCCCTGCCCTCAAGGAACCTATGTGGAATCATGAATCAGGCCTGCTTTTCTGGAATGAAGTTTGGAATCTTGCTAAGAAAGTGACCAAAAGGCTTAGGACCCAGAGATCTCATTTCTAAGAATATACCCTGAGGACTTAAGTGATAAAAAGAAAGGTTCCATGTGCACCAAAATTTTTGTAGGGTCAAAGAACTAGAAACAAGGTCGATGTGCAGCATGGATTAGGTGCGGCACTTCTTAAGCTGTGGGTCACAGAAACTTTGACAGCAGTAAAAGGTTTCTGGACGCACAACAACCAAAAATTAATTCAAAATCAAAAGCATAATGAATCCGAGGTAGTCCATGTTGCATCTGCAGCCTCCGTTCTGAACACAAAGCATGTGCACTTTGCACTGCGCCTGCCCTCAGGTCATGCCGTGCCAACCAATGCTGCTGAAAGGTGAAAAGGGGTCATGAGTGGAGAACGTTTAAGATGCCCTGGATTAGGGAATAGCTAAACAAGTTGTGATTTGGGACACAATGGACTATTACTACTGCTCAATAAGAAATAATTAATGGAGAGAAGCATAGGGAGACACGTGAACTGAGGCAAACCCAGAAAACCAGCTGCACAGGGACTATAACAGCATAAATGGAAACAACAGCAAAACAGAAACTGAACGTTGAGGAATTATGGAGACGGGGCTTGGCCCCAAGGAAGAAAAATGAGAGTGCATGTCTCTCCCTTCTTTGCAGAGGTGGGCCCAGAGGGTAGGTGTGAAACACCGATTTGGAAGGCAAAGGGGTTAGTTTTGTTGAGCCGTCTCCTCCATCTTTTTAAAGTTTCCATTATTCAAGAAACAGTGAAATTTGTGTTTAAAATGCACTGTGAGGGTTTTAAAGCTCCAGAGATGTTATTTTGCTCATCTGTTAAAAACCAGATAAAATCTTTGTAAGACAAAGCTTGTGAAAATAATAATGCAGGTACTGGAATACAGGGTGTCCCAAAAGTCTTAGTGCAGCTTAAACTTATTAGCAATTATGTCACATAAAGCAAAACTGAAGCCCAGTTATATAAACTATTCCAAAGGCAAGCTCAATCGACAGTTTCTTTCTCAGAAAGAAAATTTACAGTATATCCTTGGTACACTAGAGGGTGCTCTGCCCCCAATAAACTCTACCTACTGTAAAAGTTGAATTTCCTTTCACAACAATAAAAAGCTACCTATCCACGATTGCCTTTGTCACAGTTTATGAAGGAAATAGGCAACATGAATGCAGATTAAGAACTGAGAAGATTAAATATTGTTGTCTTGGCCAACTGTGAGACTGAGGAAGGGAACTCTGAGTGAAAAAAAACCTGACGAATAATAAGACTACAACCAGTCTGTGCAACATACATACGTATATCATAGAGGCAGCTAGGTGTGGTGCCTTGGACAGAGAGCTGGGTCTGGAGTCTAGAAGATCTGACTTCAAATCCTGCCTCAGGCAATAGCTCTGTGGCCTTGGGCAAGTCACTTCACCTCTGCCTCAGTTTCCTCAGCTGTAAAATGGGGATAATAATAGCACCTTCCTCCCAGGATTGTGAGGATCAAACGAGATTTGCAAAAGCACCTGGCACAGGGTCTGCGCCCAGTAGGCTCTGTATAAATGCTAGCTATTCAGCTCTTTGTGTGGTGGCGGAGAATTGGAAATTGAGGGGATGCCCATCAATTGGGGAATGGCTGAACAAGCTGTGGGATATGAATGTAATGGAATAGTGTTGTGCAATAAGAAATGATGAGCAGGCGGACTTCAGAAAAACCTGGAAAGACTTAAATGAACTGATGCTGAGTGAAGTGAGCAGAACCAGGAGAACATTGTACACAGTAACAGCCACACTGTGTGATGACTAACTTTGATAGACTTAGCTCTTCTTAGCAATACAGAGATCTAAGACATCTCCAAAGGTCTCATGACAGAAAATGCTATCCACATTCAAAGAAAGAACTATGGCGTCTGAATGCAGATGGAAGCATACTATGTGCTCTTTTTTTCCTTCTGTTTTGCTTTGTTTCCTCTTATGATTCCTCCTATTGGTTCTAATGCTTCCTTGCAACATGACTAATGTGAAAATATGTTTAATAGGCATGTATATGTAGAGCCTATATCAGATTGTGCGCTGCCTTGGGAAGGGAGGAGGGGAGGGAGGGGAAGAAAAATTTACAACACAAAAGCTTATGGAAGTGATTGTTGATAAATCAAAATAAATTAATAAAAAAATAAATGCTAGCTATTAGTGTTATCCTTTTGTACTCTAAAGAATATAAGTGAATCACTATTGCTTGCCATTGAATATATACATACATACACACATTTATGCATGAAAATATTTATAACCAAGGCTTTTCTCACTTGTTAGGACTTTTGTGTATTGGAAGTTGATTCCTTCTCCTTTATTGAGTTAGCTGCATATGCAATCCCAAGGGAAAAACAAAACAAAACTCTAAATTCTTCTAGGAGACCTTTGATTCCTCACTTGAAAATGCAACCAAAGGCCCTTCTGGCACTTGCCAGAAAATTGGCATGTATTCTGTATTACTCCTTGCTCTCATCCTCCCCTCCACCAAAACTAGCTGAGCTATCCCCACTTTCCCCCCAATAACTACATAGATAAAAGTGTCCAACTGGGTCCTGATGATGGCGTCCCCCACAATGCCCTTGTTGGCTTTGGATAAGTCAGAAACACGTAACGTGGGGATATGCGTATTATCTAAAGCAGGGGTGCATGGCAAGCTATTCCTTTAAAAAAAGTTATTTGCCATTTCATCCAAAAATAATATTGATGTCATCATGTGATAAATTATTTAAGATGACTTGAGTGAAGGGCTAGATTCTGAGAATAAGAGGTATATAAAAATTCTAACTGACATATATCTGCTCATCATAAAGTAACCCTCCACAATGACTTGTTCTTTTTAAATATTTGAAAATATTGGTACTTAGAAGACATACCAAGAACTTACTTAAGTAGCTCTCTGAGCTCATGTGGAGAGAGTTTCATAAACATTAGTTAATGGCTCCATTACACATCAGAGACTTCTGAGAATGAAAATTAATTTTTACGGTTAAAATGCTTCTATTTCAAAAAGTATATTAGAGCAGATGTCATTTTAAGACTTTTTTTTGCCATAAATTGGTCAACATTTGGGATTCACTAAGGTTCCTAGAAACTACTTAGATGTAAATGTTATGCCTAAATGTTCCTATTTGAAGGGAAGTTATCTTTTTTAACACTGGTATTTTAGTGATATATAGCTGCAAATCATCCATCAGCAGTCTCACAAGAACAAAAATTACAAGGGGACCCCAAAAGACAATGGAAAAATTCATGGCGGTCGCATATTGCAAATAGTCACTTCTTGTGACAAGTGTTAGAAAAGATATTGTTCATGACATCCAGAACCAAAAAGGGATAGGGGATGGTTATGTAGCCAGAGTGACCAGAACAGATGGGCATTCTGAGTGCTGCTGATAGCCATCAAATAGCAAAAGAACCAGGAAAAAAAAGCCTCCACTGTAACAGGCAGATACGCCGTGGAGAATTTGTGGAAAGAAAGAAATAGACAAGAATTACTCAGGATGAGAAGGAATGGGCATGGTTGATTTGCAATGTAAAACAGAGGAGGAGAGTATCCATTGAGAATATACCATGATCTGGTATTTAAGCATTTAAGATGCTGAGAGCGTCAACAAAAATAAATGCTATATTTTTTGAACCGTACCTTTTTTTGGAAGGTGACTGCAAGTTGGCTTTGGTTACTATGGAAACTGTACTACCCTCTATCTACTTTCAGTGACAATACTAGTTCTACGTCAGATAACATTTTCTTGTAAATCTTTTTGGAAAGGATATGCTTATTTAATAACATCACATATATGACTTGGATTATAATATGTAAAATTTTTTAAAAATATTAACAGCATATGAAAACATCTTTGATTTCATTTATTTGCTAGGTCTTTGTTGTCACTTAAAGTTTGCTTTAATTTT